CTGAGGATTAGACCGAGGAGTAGTCTGAGGAGTTTGAGGATAATCTGAGGAGGAGTCTGAGGATTAGACCGAGGAGTAGTCTGAGGAGTTTGAGGATAATCTGAGGAGGAGGAGGAGTAGTTTGAGGAGTAGTCTGAGGAGTTTGAGGATAATCTGAGGAGTCTAGGATAATCTGAGGAGGAGTCTGAGGATAATCTGAGGAGTCTGAGGATAATCTGAGGAGTCTGAGGATAATCTGAGGAGTCTGAGGATAATCTGAGGAGTTTGAGGATAATCTGAGGAGTTTGAGGATAATCTGAGGAGGAGTCTGAGGATTAGACCGAGGAGTAGTCTGAGGAGTCTGAGGATAATCTGAGGAGTTTGAGGATAATCTGAGGAGGAGTCTGAGGATTAGACCGAGGAGTAGTCTGAGGAGTTTGAGGATAATCTGAGGAGTTTGAGGATAATCTGAGCATAATCTGAGGAGGAGTCTGCGGATAATCTGAGGAGTAGTTTCAGGAGTAGTCTGAGGACTAGTCTCAGGACTAGTCTGATGAGGAGGACTCTAAGGAGTAGTCTGAAGAGTAGTCTCAGGAGGAAGATCTGAGGAGGAGTCTGATGAGGAGGGGTCTAAGGAGTAGTCTGAGGATGATGAGTAATCTGATAAGGAGTAGTCTGAGGATGATCTGAGGATAACCTGATGACTAGTCTAGGAGTGGTCTAATAAAAATGTAAAATATTTTCAAAGAAAAAATTCTATGAATTTTATATTTTAATTCTTAGCATTATACTGAATAAAATAAACATAAATATCAAAATTTGAAATTGAACACGCCAAAAAATTGATAATCCACATTCAATATTTTGTAAGTGGCGTACTTTTTGAATACTCGCCATACGCCTTGGAGTTCTCAATTTTGAATTCGCCTTTATTTGGGCGACCTCAGAAAAATACGCCATTAAGAAAATATTGTATGAGATTTTAAATTTGAACACGCTCTACCTTAAGGAATTAAATTTATTAAGATATATTTATATATAATAAACGATTACTTAAAAAAAGTATTTCATCGGTTATGTAAGTTTCAAAAAAATCACGAAAATAAAAAATCAAGATTAAAATTTTATTTTTAATTTTTGAATTTCTCAAATGGCGAAATTTTTGGGCGAACAAAAAAATGTACGCCCCGATCAAATGGCGTGTTTAACGCATCCCTAACAGACTGTCGTCAGCCATTTTAAAAAAATGAATAAATTGTATAGTAAATTATATTTGTGAAATTTGTGACGCTACATTCAATCTAAGACCAATATCTCAAAGAATTCCTCATTTAAGTATTACTTTTCATTGTTTTTTAAAAAATATCTTTGCTTATTTGTTCACTTTTTTGACATTTATTATATGCTTTTTATCATATTTCCGATGATATGAATATATATTCTATATAAGAATGACGCTACATTCAATCTAAGACCAATATCTCAAAGAATTCCTCATTTAAGTATTACTTTTCATTTATGATTCAATTTTCGAACGGTTTTCGTAAATTTTGCATCATTTCATTTTTTAATGGGAAAATCATCTATATTTAATCAAAAAAGAGCAAACTTTACAGACGAAAATAAAATATTTATCAGGGAACAATCTGATAAATACCAAAAATCAACATCGAGAGATGAAAAACGAATATAATCAAACAAGTTCTTCAATATTTTAATATTAAATACGCCGAAAAATGAATCTAAAGCTGTCAGAAGATATTTTAGTTATATTGCAGTTAAAAATATTCCCGCAGTTACTGGAAAATATCCTGATACAATTGTTCGCAAAGATATGCTTTATTCGCATAATCATACAAATATTATTAATTCAAATAATATTGAACGTTACTACCGTTGCATCGATCATTCTTGTCAAGCACGTTATTTAGTTAAAATTGAGAACAGTTCAGTTTCCGAAGATTTACAAAAGGAACATATACCCGAATGCAGACAATTTAAAAAGTTACAAAATGAAAAAAAATGATCTTCATAAATCAATGACTCTGAAAGAAATATACAATAAGGCAATGGCAAAATTTTCTGAAGACAACGGCACTTTTCAGCAGATTAAAAAATTTATGACAGAACTTGCTGTTGGTACTGATGAAACCCATTAATTAAAGATTCATTGGTCAGGGAAGTTTATAATAAGTCCAGAAAATTTTCTGTTGGAGAAAAAATTACAGACGATGAAATTGCTAATTTTTGTTTAATAAATGGCGAGCAGTTTTTCATTGGCCATGATTTTCAAGCAAATTGTGAGACGATGTTTTTTTTGGTTTTGAGAAGGCAATTCAATTTGCAAAAGAAGCCACATATTTATTTTGCGATGGAACTTTTAAAATTACACCAAACATTTTCAAAAAGGACAGATGCTAACAATTATGATTTGTGAACCTTCAACAAATCAATATCTACCACTTTTATTTATATTCATGAAAAACCGCACATTTGAATCTTATAAGAAGGCATTTGAATATATTTTTACTGTCAAGGGTATTCAATTTTCAAAGCTAATTCAAATTCATTGTGATTTTGAAAAGGGAATGATAGAGGCACTTCAACAAATTTTCCCTAAAGTCCGTATAATTGGATGCCTATTTCATTTCAAACAAGCTTTACACAGGAAACTTGTAGCACTTTATACAAAAAATTTCAATACTTTACAAAATTCTTTATTTAAGCTATATTCTATTACTCCATTCATGTCTCATGAAGAATTTGTACTTACAATGCATATAATTAATCAAAATAAAGTTGATTCGATCAAGATTATATTGATTATTTCAACAAAGTTTGGTTGCCGCACTACAATTTAATATCTCAATATAATAATGCAACTGCAATATTCACTAATGATTGCCTCGAGAGTATGCATTCAGAATTTTCTTCGTTAAAACATCCAAACATTTATGAAGCTATTAAGAAGATATCTCAAATCCAATTAGATAAATATAACGCCATCAAAAATAACCAGAAGATCGAGCGCCATATAAAAACCGTTATCACTGATAGCTACAAAAATTATATTCTTGACTGCTTTCAAAAAGAACTTGAGAAAACAATTTTTTCTATCAAACAATACAACGTAAGTGATCTTTCTTTGGCTCAGAACGAGATTTCTCCATATGGTTCCATAGAATCGAGTTCATTGTTCGAAAATATTCCAGTTCATGATGCAGATATACTCAAATCGATCGATCTAACAGATAAAGATACAATGATCACTAAGTTTATTAATGAAAAAAGAGAAAAAATTATGGCATTATTTAATGAAACATTAAATCATCCAGATTTTAATTCATCCACTCCAATTCAAACTAATTTTGAGCAAGCCGATACAAATCAAGGTTCAGATGCTCCAATTCGCTCCGAAAATTCAAATATTGCAGACTCTACAGATTTAGAACCAGAAAATCAAAACCATCCTTCTACAAATCAAATGTCTAGTAATCTAGAACATAAGCTGGACCTTCTTGATCATATTGAAAAACAATTATCGAAAATGCGCTCGTTATTGGGAATTCTTCCTACTACAAATGCTATTGTTGGGCCGTCAAAACAAGTTTCAGTTAATAGCAAGCAAAATTCTGAAAAAAATAAGAAAAAATCTTCCATAACAACAAAATCAAACAATAAAAAACAAAATTCATCCGACAATCCTCCTAAACGTAAAGCTCCTATTTCGGAAAGGATTCTCAGCGATAATAACTTATATTTTCAAGTTCATCGAAAGAGATCGAAAAGCAAACGTTCCACATCTACAGAGAAAAAGAATTGATATATGAAGTCTAATTCCTTTTATAACTACTATATTTTTATTCTTATGACTAAAAAATAATATATTATTTAACAATTTTCATTTTTTTCTTTTAACAATTTCGTTTTATTTCCATTTATTGTTAAATGATTTTTAGCATACACCTTTCTTTGTTCATCTTCTAAATACAATTTATTTTTTCTTAGATATAATTCTATTCATTCAATTCGATCGTCATTTTTCAGTACATGATCGTAATTTTCAATTATTGATCGCGATTTTACTTCAGAATTTGTTCGCAATATTGCTTATCAAAATTATATCTCTATTCTCTCATTTCTGTTTAGTCAATATCATTACACTCCTATTGTCTAATAACATGCTATTAATTTTCTTAAAATTAAAAAAAAATATCAACTTTTAAAAACAGAAACTTAACATCCTTAGGTCAATGGATTTTGATGTGAGATACATTTAATCTGTTTTTCTTTTTTTATTTTAAATAATTGAATATTTATAGTTGTTATGGGTCTTACATCATGTAAAACGAATTTTCTTAAAGTAAATTTACTTTTTCTTCAATCTTTCTTACATATTTATTAAAAAAAATTATCCAAAAAAAGATGTTTTAGAATGAAAAAAAATAGAAAAATCTTCATTTATAGTCTTTCTTGAATGTATACGTTTTGATTTTTTTCTTTTTTAAAAAATTCAATTTCTAGAAAAATCGAGAAAAAATCATTTTCTTCTATTTTTTAGGACGCCATACCCATTGAAATCTCCTCTCAGGACGCCATAAACTATTCAATTATGGTGTAAACTTCTCAAAAATTGATAGTTTACATCAGGACGCCTTAGGACGCCAACCCTTTACGCGCCCCCGTAAAAATATTAATCATTTGAATCAAAGAACAGACATAGAATTTATAAAAGGAAAGATGCAAAAGGTTGCAGGCTTCTAGCATTTTTTTGCTTCCAATAACATTGGCAGAGCTTATTAATTTTTTATTCTTTCTCAAAATTCTGAAATATTTTAAATTTGAGCGTCATATCGTGACACAATATAACTTGATTCAAACTATTGAAATTTTATTAAAGAGTTCAGTTCTCGGAAATGTTATCGATTCATTACTTTGGCAGTTTTGAATCCACTCAATTATTTTTGAATTATTTTATATTTTGAATACTCCTTAAGAAACATAAAATCATTATTCTAAATATGTTTTCCATTATCTTGGTGCAATTTTCCCTCTCAGTTTCTGGCCATTCCAATCGAAAATACTCCTACGGATTCACTGATGTTGATCAAAACAGAAAGCATGTAGAATTGGTTGAAAATGTGACCACAAAAGTCAGAATTGATGGCGTTGAAAGCAATATTGAAAAAGTAACAGATTTAGATTACTCTCTTCAAATTGAAAATCACAAAAATTTATTATATACAGTTGTAAAGCAGACAATTACAAATAAATGGTCAAATGAAAAGAAGGTAGATTTTTGCACAGCAATGTTATTTAAGGCAGAAGATAAAAAAGTCATCGCTCTAACTCTTGCAAACTTTGGCTATTCCCTTTGGTGGGAAGAGATAACAGATCTTACATTAGTTCTCCAAAATCATCCATGGGTTACTGATGTCAATGCCCATGACTTCGGCTCTGATGACGTGCCTAAATTCTTCACGAACACCGATAAAATTTTAGAAAATGTAGATGATGATGATGATCTTCCATCAATTTTATGGGTTTCATTTTCATGGTTGAACAAATATATACAACCTGGACAGTCAATAACATTCTCTTATCTATTACATAAAGGAAAATATGAACCACCATTCCTCTTCCTTGAGAAATCTTTAATCCCAGAAGAAACTGATGCTACTGAAGTAATTCAAATCAAGGGCAAGTTCTCATTCCTTGTTGATGGTTGTGATGCAGAAGCTGGCTGGAAACTTCGTACTTCCAATGATAAAATTATCAGATATGATACACTTGGCAAATTCAAAGCTTCAGAATCAATGAAGAGTAAGGACTTCGATGTATCCATCACACCACCAACAGGACTTGGAAAGTACACATTATATGTTTATACATATAATCCTGATCTTGAATCATTGCTTTATGAAGAATTTCCATTTACAGTTGTCGCTCCAAACTACAGACCAAAGTTGTATGTTCTTCCTCCTGATTACACTTATTACATTCCAGATTCTGAAGTTTCTTTTTTGGCTTCAGTCTACGATCAAGATTCAGGTGATAAACCACTCACAGCAAAGGTTTTCTTCAACAATGCAGAAGTTGCAACACAAGAAGTTGCAAACAGCAAAGATCTTAAGACATTCAAATTCAAAGTTCCAAAAGACACAGCAGCAGGTGAATATGAAGTCAAAGTTTCAGCTACAGATGGCAAGAAGATCGCCACAAAGAGGTTTATCATTCAAATACAAAACAATACAGTTCTCACAATCAATTTCGAACCAAAACTTAATGCCACATACAACAAAGGCGACAAGGTCAACTTCACAGCTGTCATCAATGATCCAGATACAAACTTCGATAACAAGTTCACTGTTTCTCTGTTCTACAACGATAAAGTCAAGAAGACGATCACATCAACTAACGATGCAGGATTAGTCAGAGTTCCACTTGATTTCACCATCCCAACAACAGAAACAAACACAACAGCCGAAATCAAGATCGTAGTCACAACACCAACCGAATCCTCTGAAAAATTAACAAATATCAACATCTATCAAGATGTTATCGCAAGTGATTCTGCAACAGGAAAGATTGCTACAAAGAAAGCTAAAAAGAAGACCGCCCTTGTTGCAGTTCTCTGTGTCTTAGCTGTCATTGCTGTTGTTGTTGCGGTAGTCGTTATTATTCTTTGGCTGAGAAAATAAAAAAATTCGGAGAATAAATTAAATTTTATGCTTTAAACACACTTTTTAAAATCACTTATAAATTATCTTTCAACAAGTTGAAATTACTCAATCTAGGATTGTTTTTCATGTGAAATTCTTGTTGTGCAACTAAATCTTAATTGCCAACTTGGAATAAAGATCATAGAACAAGACAAGCTTTTTTATAAATGAAGCATCTAATTAATAAACATTACTAATAAATTTTTTTTCAAATGATCCCATAACATAAGTTACCAATTGATGAGTATATAATGCTGCAATGATATCTTCCCATCTCAAAAATAAAGGAGAATGAATAATGACTCCCGTTTGTTACTATAAAAAATCTGCCAGCTAAAAAAACAGTTATTTTGTCTCATTACTCATCAGATTTATTCGTTTTTCTTGACATTATCATCAAGGGTCCATCAATATATAATGACATATGGATGTGTATATACAGGAATTATAGTTCAATTTTCATGGCTAAAAATAAATGACAAGAAGTAGAATGTCAGATTATTTCAAAATTTCTGACATACATAATTAATGTGAAATTTTTAAAATTATATATTGAACTGGAATTTTCGAATGAATAAATAAACTCAATCATTAAATTTGACACAGATAATAAGTAGTCATTCAGATTTGCATCTATTATTTTTAGTTATTAAATCAAATTGAGCATTTTTTATTTGAACTGACATTGGGCAAAGAACTTTCAATTTTATAGCTTTTTTATTTTTTATTTTTTCACAAAAAATTGAGAGGATCATCTTGACATTATACAAGGTGATTATAACTATAGAAAATCAATCATAAGGTATAATAATATGAAATATTATCGATTCATATGTATAGATGACTTTGAAAAACGACTCAAAATGTTTCTGAAATATTTATATTTGAATACTTTTATAAAATCATTTTACCATTTTTTTAAATGTTTTCCATATTACTTGCACAACTTTCTCTTTCAGTTTCAGGCAAAGTTGTTGGGGATAATTCGTACATGATTTATGATAAGGACGGAAGGGAGAATTATGAAATAATTAAAGAACCTTATACAAAAGTCAGAATAGATGGTGTTACAAAAAACATTAAAGAAGCCACTGATTTAGGCTACTCCGTTGAAATTTATAATGATGAAAATTCAGATTATGTTATTATTTCACAGACAATTACCAACAAAGGCTCAACGGAAAAGAAAATTGACCTTTGCACAGCATTGAATTTAAAAGATTCTATAGATAATGTTGAAGCATCATCCCTTACAAACTTTGGTTATTATCTTTGGTGGGATCAAACAAATGATCTGACACTAGTTCTGCAAAATCATCCTTGGGTTACAGATATCAGTGCCCAAGACTTTGGAATAGAACCTGAGCCAAGATTCTTCACGAACAATGAGAAAATTTTAGAATACGACTCTGGATTTCCTGAAATTCAATGGATCTCATTCTCATGGCTCAACAAGTATATCCAACCAGGAAAGTCTATCACACTTTCTTACATGTTTTATGAAGAGACATATCAACCGCCATTACTTAAACTTGATAAAACTCTGATTTCAGAAGAAACAGATTCCACTGAAGTAATTCAAGTAAAGGGAAGTTTTTATTTCTTAGTTGAACCATACACGGTAGAAGCAGGTTGGGAAATTCATGATTCAAAAGATAAGATAATCAAATATGGCAGCCTTGGCAAATTTACAGTTTCAGAAAAACAAACAAGTATGGATTTTGATGTGTCAATCACACCACCAACAGAACTTGGAAAGTACACATTATATGTTTACACATATACTAATGGTCTTGGCTCATTGCTTTATGAAGAATTCACAATTACAGTTGTTCCACCAAATTATAGACCAAAGTTATACATTGTTCCATCTGAATACCTATATTACATTCCAGATTCTGAAGTTTCTTTTTGGCTTCAGTCTACGATCAAGATTCAGGTGATAAACCACTCACAGCAAAGGTTTTCTTCAACAATGCAGAAGTTGCAACACAAGAAGTTGCAAACAGCAAAGATCTTAAGACATTCAAATTCAAAGTTCCAAAAGACACAGCAGCAGGTGAATATGAAGTCAAAGTCACAGCTACAGATGGCAAGAAGATTGGAACAAAGAAGTTCACAATCACAATCAAGAATAACACAGTTCTCACAATCTATTTCGAACCAAAACTTAATGCCACATACAACAAAGGCGACAAGGTCAACTTCACAGCTGTCATCAATGATCCAGATACAAACTTCGATAACAAGTTCACTGTTTCTCTGTTCTACAACGATAAAGTCAAGAAGACGATCACATCAACTAACGATGCAGGATTAGTCAGAGTTCCACTTGATTTCACCATCCCAACAACAGAAACAAACACAACAGCCGAAATCAAGATCGTAGTCACAACACCAACCGAATCCTCTGAAAAATTAACAAATATCAACATCTATCAAGATGTTATCGCAAGTGATTCTGCAACAGGAAAGATTGCTACAAAGGAAGCTAAAAAGAAGACCGCCCTTGTTGCAGTTCTCTGTGTCTTAGCTGTCATTGCTGTTGTTGTTGCGGTAGTCGTTATTATTCTTTGGCTGAGAAAATAAAAAAATTCGGAGAATAAATTAAATTTTATGCTTTAAACACACTTTTTAAAATTACTTATAAATTATCTTTCAACAAGTTGAAATTACTCAATCTAGGATTGTTTTTCATGTGAAATTCTTGTTGTGCAACTAAATCTTAATTGCCAACTTGGAATAAAGATCATAGAACAAGACAAGCTTTTTTATAAATGAAGCATCTAATTAATAAACATTACTAATAAATTTTTTTTCAAATGATCCCATAACATAAGTTACCAATTGATGAGTATATAATGCTGCAATGATATCTTCCCATCTCAAAAATAAAGGAGAATGAATAATGACTCCCGTTTGTTACTATAAAAAATCTGCCAGCTAAAAAAACAGTTATTTTGTCTCATTACTCATCAGATTTATTCGTTTTTCTTGACATTATCATCAAGGGTCCATCAATATATAATGACATATGGATGTGTATATACAGGAATTATAGTTCAATTTTCATGGCTAAAAATAAATGACAAGAAGTAGAATGTCAGATTATTTCAAAATTTCTGACATACATAATTAATGTGAAATTTTTAAAATTATATATTGAACTGGAATTTTCGAATGAATAAATAAACTCAATCATTAAATTTGACACAGATAATAAGTAGTCATTCAGATTTGCATCTATTATTTTTAGTTATTAAATCAAATTGAGCATTTTTTATTTGAACTGACATTGGGCAAAGAACTTTCAATTTTATAGCTTTTTTATTTTTTATTTTTTCACAAAAAATTGAGAGGATCATCTTGACATTATACAAGGTGATTATAACTATAGAAAATCAATCATAAGGTATAATAATATGAAATATTATCGATTCATATGTATAGATGACTTTGAAAAACGACTCAAAATGTTTCTGAAATATTTATATTTGAATACTTTTATAAAATCATTTTACCATTTTTTTAAATGTTTTCCATATTACTTGCACAACTTTCTCTTTCAGTTTCAGGCAAAGTTGTTGGGGATAATTCGTACATGATTTATGATAAGGACGGAAGGGAGAATTATGAAATAATTAAAGAACCTTATACAAAAGTCAGAATAGATGGTGTTACAAAAAACATTAAAGAAGCCACTGATTTAGGCTACTCCGTTGAAATTTATAATGATGAAAATTCAGATTATGTTATTATTTCACAGACAATTACCAACAAAGGCTCAACGGAAAAGAAAATTGACCTTTGCACAGCATTGAATTTAAAAGATTCTATAGATAATGTTGAAGCATCATCCCTTACAAACTTTGGTTATTATCTTTGGTGGGATCAAACAAATGATCTGACACTAGTTCTGCAAAATCATCCTTGGGTTACAGATATCAGTGCCCAAGACTTTGGAATAGAACCTGAGCCAAGATTCTTCACGAACAATGAGAAAATTTTAGAATACGACTCTGGATTTCCTGAAATTCAATGGATCTCATTCTCATGGCTCAACAAGTATATCCAACCAGGAAAGTCTATCACACTTTCTTACATGTTTTATGAAGAGACATATCAACCGCCATTACTTAAACTTGATAAATCTCTGATTTCAGAAGAAACAGATTCCACTGAAGTAATTCAAGTAAAGGGAAGTTTTTATTTCTTAGTTGAACCATACACGGTAGAAGCAGGTTGGGAAATTCATGATTCAAAAGATAAGATAATCAAATATGGCAGCCTTGGCAAATTTACAGTTTCAGAAAAAAAACAAGTATGGATTTTGATGTGTCAATCACACCACCAACAGAACTTGGAAAGTACACATTATATGTTTACACATATACTAATGGTCTTGGCTCATTGCTTTATGAAGAATTCACAATTACAGTTGTTCCACCAAATTATAGACCAAAGTTATACATTGTTCCATCTGAATACCTATATTACATTCCAGATTCTGAAGTTTCTTTCTTGGCTTCAGTCTACGATCAAGATTCAGGTGATAAACCACTCACAGCAAAGGTTTTCTTCAACAATGCAGAAGTTGCAACACAAGAAGTTGCAAACAGCAAAGATCTTAAGACATTCAAATTCAAAGTTCCAAAAGACACAGCAGCAGGTGAATATGAAGTCAAAGTCACAGCTACAGATGGCAAGAAGATTGGAACAAAGAAGTTCACAATCACAATCAAGAATAACACAGTTCTCACAATCTATTTCGAACCAAAACTTAATGCCACATACAACAAAGGCGACAAGGTCAACTTCACAGCTGTCATCAATGATCCAGATACAAACTTCGATAACAAGTTCACTGTTTCTCTGTTCTACAACGATAAAGTCAAGAAGACGATCACATCAACTAACGATGCAGGATTAGTCAGAGTTCCACTTGATTTCACCATCCCAACAACAGAAACAAACACAACAGCCGAAATCAAGATCGTAGTCACAACACCAACCGAATCCTCTGAAAAATTAACAAATATCAACATCTATCAAGATGTTATCGCAAGTGATTCTGCAACAGGAAAGATTGCTACAAAGGAAGCTAAAAAGAAGACCGCCCTTGTTGCAGTTCTCTGTGTCTTAGCTGTCATTGCTGTTGTTGTTGCGGTAGTCGTTATTATTCTTTGGCTGAGAAAATAAAAAAATTCGGAGAATAAATTAAATTTTATGCTTTAAACACACTTTTTAAAATTACTTATAAATTATCTTTCAACAAGTTGAAATTACTCAATCTAGGATTGTTTTTCATGTGAAATTCTTGTTGTGCAACTAAATCTTAATTGCCAACTTGGAATAAAGATCATAGAACAAGACAAGCTTTTTTATAAATGAAGCATCTAATTAATAAACATTACTAATAAATTTTTTTTCAAATGATCCCATAACATAAGTTACCAATTGATGAGTATATAATGCTGCAATGATATCTTCCCATCTCAAAAATAAAGGAGAATGAATAATGACTCCCGTTTGTTACTATAAAAAATCTGCCAGCTAAAAAAACAGTTATTTTGTCTCATTACTCATCAGATTTATTCGTTTTTCTTGACATTATCATCAAGGGTCCATCAATATATAATGACATATGGATGTGTATATACAGGAATTATAGTTCAATTTTCATGGCTAAAAATAAATGACAAGAAGTAGAATGTCAGATTATTTCAAAATTTCTGACATACATAATTAATGTGAAATTTTTAAAATTATATATTGAACTGGAATTTTCGAATGAATAAATAAACTCAATCATTAAATTTGACACAGATAATAAGTAGTCATTCAGATTTGCATCTATTATTTTTAGTTATTAAATCAAATTGAGCATTTTTTATTTGAACTGACATTGGGCAAAGAACTTTCAATTTTATAGCTTTTTTATTTTTTATTTTTTCACAAAAAATTGAGAGGATCATCTTGACATTATACAAGGTGATTATAACTATAGAAAATCAATCATAAGGTATAATAATATGAAATATTATCGATTCATATGTATAGATGACTTTGAAAAACGACTCAAAATGTTTCTGAAATATTTATATTTGAATACTTTTATAAAATCATTTTACCATTTTTTTAAATGTTTTCCATATTACTTGCACAACTTTCTCTTTCAGTTTCAGGCAAAGTTGTTGGGGATAATTCGTACATGATTTATGATAAGGACGGAAGGGAGAATTATGAAATAATTAAAGAACCTTATACAAAAGTCAGAATAGATGGTGTTACAAAAAACATTAAAGAAGCCACTGATTTAGGCTACTCCGTTGAAATTTATAATGATGAAAATTCAGATTATGTTATTATTTCACAGACAATTACCAACAAAGGCTCAACGGAAAAGAAAATTGACCTTTGCACAGCATTGAATTTAAAAGATTCTATAGATAATGTTGAAGCATCATCCCTTACAAACTTTGGTTATTATCTTTGGTGGGATCAAACAAATGATCTGACACTAGTTCTGCAAAATCATCCTTGGGTTACAGATATCAGTGCCCAAGACTTTGGAATAGAACCTGAGCCAAGATTCTTCACGAACAATGAGAAAATTTTAGAATACGACTCTGGATTTCCTGAAATTCAATGGATCTCATTCTCATGGCTCAACAAGTATATCCAACCAGGAAAGTCTATCACACTTTCTTACATGTTTTATGAAGAGACATATCAACCGCCATTACTTAAACTTGATAAATCTCTGATTTCAGAAGAAACAGATTCCACTGAAGTAATTCAAGTAAAGGGAAGTTTTTATTTCTTAGTTGAACCATACACGGTAGAAGCAGGTTGGGAAATTCATGATTCAAAAGATAAGATAATCAAATATGGCAGCCTTGGCAAATTTACAGTTTCAGAAAAACAAACAAGTATGGATTTTGATGTGTCAATCACACCACCAACAGAACTTGGAAAGTACACATTATATGTTTACACATATACTAATGGTCTTGGCTCATTGCTTTATGAAGAATTCACAATTACAGTTGTTCCACCAAATTATAGACCAAAGTTATACATTGTTCCATCTGAATACCTATATTACATTCCAGATTCTGAAGTTTCTTTCTTGGCTTCAGTCTACGATCAAGATTCAGGTGATAAACCACTCACAGCAAAGGTTTTCTTCAACAATGCAGAAGTTGCAACACAAGAAGTTGCAAACAGCAAAGATCTTAAGACATTCAAATTCAAAGTTCCAAAAGACACAGCAGCAGGTGAATATGAAGTCAAAGTCACAGCTACAGATGGCAAGAAGATTGGAACAAAGAAGTTCACAATCACAATCAAGAATAACACAGTTCTCACAATCTATTTCGAACCAAAACTTAATGCCACATACAACAAAGGCGACAAGGTCAACTTCACAGCTGTCATCAATGATCCAGATACAAACTTCGATAACAAGTTCACTGTTTCTCTGTTCTACAACGATAAAGTCAAGAAGACGATCACATCAACTAACGATGCAGGATTAGTCAGAGTTCCACTTGATTTCACCATCCCAACAACAGAAACAAACACAACAGCCGAAATCAAGATCGTAGTCACAACACCAACCGAATCCTCTGAAAAATTAACAAATATCAACATCTATCAAGATGTTATCGCAAGTGATTCTGCAACAGGAAAGATTGCTACAAAGGAAGCTAAAAAGAAGACCGCCCTTGTTGCAGTTCTCTGTGTCTTAGCTGTCATTGCTGTTGTTGTTGCGGTAGTCGTTATTATTCTTTGGCTGAGAAAATAAAAAAATTCGGAGAATAAATTAAATTTTATGCTTTAAACACACTTTTTAAAATTACTTATAAATTATCTTTCAACAAGTTGAAATTACTCAATCTAGGATTGTTTTTCATGTGAAATTCTTGTTGTGCAACTAAATCTTAATTGCCAACTTGGAATAAAGATCATAGAACAAGACAAGCTTTTTTATAAATGAAGCATCTAATTAATAAACATTACTAATAAATTTTTTTTCAAATGATCCCATAACATAAGTTACCAATTGATGAGTATATAATGCTGCAATGATATCTTCCCATCTCAAAAATAAAGGAGAATGAATAATGACTCCCGTTTGTTACTATAAAAAATCTGCCAGCTAAAAAAACAGTTATTTTGTCTCATTACTCATCAGATTTATTCGTTTTTCTTGACATTATCATCAAGGGTCCATCAATATATAATGACATATGGATGTGTATATACAGGAATTATAGTTCAATTTTCATGGCTAAAAATAAATGACAAGAAGTAGAATGTCAGATTATTTCAAAATTTCTGACATACATAATTAATGTGAAATTTTTAAAATTATATATTGAACTGGAATTTTCGAATGAATAAATAAACTCAATCATTAAATTTGACACAGATAATAAGTAGTCATTCAGATTTGCATCTATTATTTTTAGTTATTAAATCAAATTGAGCATTTTTTATTTGAACTGACATTGGGCAAAGAACTTTCAATTTTATAGCTTTTTTATTTTTTATTTTTTCACAAAAAATTGAGAGGATCATCTTGACATTATACAAGGTGATTATAACTATAGAAAATCAATCATAAGGTATAATAATATGAAATATTATCGATTCATATGTATAGATGACTTTGAAAAACGACTCAAAATGTTTCTGAAATATTTATATTTGAATACTTTTATAAAATCATTTTACCATTTTTTTAAATGTTTTCCATATTACTTGCACAACTTTCTCTTTCAGTTTCAGGCAAAGTTGTTGGGGATAATTCGTACATGATTTATGATAAGGACGGAAGGGAGAATTATGAAATAATTAAAGAACCTTATACAAAAGTCAGAATAGATGGTGTTACAAAAAACATTAAAGAAGCCACTGATTTAGGCTACTCCGTTGAAATTTATAATGATGAAAATTCAGATTATGTTATTATTTCACAGACAATTACCAACAAAGGCTCAACGGAAAAGAAAATTGACCTTTGCACAGCATTGAATTTAAAAGATTCTATAGATAATGTTGAAGCATCATCCCTTACAAACTTTGGTTATTATCTTTGGTGGGATCAAACAAATGATCTGACACTAGTTCTGCAAAATCATCCTTGGGTTACAGATATCAGTGCCCAAGACTTTGGAATAGAACCTGAGCCAAGATTCTTCACGAACAATGAGAAAATTTTAGAATACGACTCTGGATTTCCTGAAATTCAATGGATCTCATTCTCATGGCTCAACAAGTATATCCAACCAGGAAAGTCTATCACACTTTCTTACATGTTTTATGAAGAGACATATCAACCGCCATTACTTAAACTTGATAAATCTCTGATTTCAGAAGAAACAGATTCCACTGAAGTAATTCAAGTAAAGGGAAGTTTTTATTTCTTAGTTGAACCATACACGGTAGAAGCAGGTTGGGAAATTCATGATTCAAAAGATAAGATAATCAAATATGGCAGCCTTGGCAAATTTACAGTTTCAGAAAAACAAACAAGTATGGATTTTGATGTGTCAATCACACCACCAACAGAACTTGGAAAGTACACATTATATGTTTACACATATACTAATGGTCTTGGCTCATTGCTTTATGAAGAATTCACAATTACAGTTGTTCCACCAAATTATAGACCAAAGTTATACATTGTTCCATCTGAATACCTATATTACATTCCAGATTCTGAAGTTTCTTTTTTGGCTTCAGTCTACGATCAAGATTCAGGTGATAAACCACTCACAGCAAAGGTTTTCTTCAACAATGCAGAAGTTGCAACACAAGAAGTTGCAAACAGCACAGATCTTAAGACATTCAAATTCAAAGTTCCAAAAGACACAGCAGCAGGTGAATATGAAGTCAAAGTCACAGCTACAGATGGCAAGAAGATTGGAACAAAGAAGTTCACAATCACAATCAAGGATAACACAGTTCTCACAATCGATTTCGAACCAAAACTTAATGCCACATACAACAAAGGCGACAAGGTCAACTTCACAGCTGTCATCAATGATCCAGATACAAACTTCGATAACAAGTTCACTGTTTCTCTGTTCTACAACGATAAAGTCAAGAAGACGATCACATCAACTAACGATGCAGGATTAGTCAGAGTTCCACTTGATTTCACCATCCCAACAACAGAAACAAACACAACAGAAACAAACACAACAGCCGAAATCAAGATCGTAGTCACAACACCAACCGAATCCTCTGAAAAATTAACAAATATCAACATCTATCAAGATGTTATCGCAAGTGATTCTGCTAAAGGAATTCTTACAACAAAAGAAGTTAAGCAAAGGAAGGCACTCATTGCCGTCCTCAGTGTCTTAGCAGTAATTGCAGTTCTTGTTGCCATTGTCGTTATTATTCTTTGGTTTAGAAAGTAAAAATCACGGATTTTTTTATTGTATTTATTAGGGAATTCATAGGATAAATTCATCAAATTACTTAATCACAATATTATCATGAGTAAAAAGTCTGAACGATGCAATGAAATCCGCACAATCAATTTTCTTCAACAATATTGAAGCATTCAAGGAAAAGTGGAGTATATATATACTGAATTTGATTCAGTTTCTTTTTATATGATGCTTTATTAGTAAATATTTATAAAACATCTAAACTTTTATGCTTTACCGACTTTATTGGTATTTTTATTATCATTTATATTTACTAACACCACATATTCACAATAACCATTTGGAAAACACACGAATATAATAGTTTTTAACTCTTTAATTTTCAAATATATAAAAAAATTTAGTCAAATTCCGTATAAATTAAACAAATCACCTCCAAATCATATTTATTAATAGTGATTAAAAGTAAAAGACAAAAATAGGTGTGTCAGATTTTTAATATCTTTTGAAACCAATTTTTCTCTACCGATTAAATAATGGATAAATTACAAATTCTAACATCCCAACTGCGGTGATGCTTATATTGAGATTCTTTTCAGAGGATTTTTTTGCCTCTGGTTTTTGTAAAAATATTACCAAGCAGTTTTATAATGAATATTATTTTTGGAGTAAAAAGATTGAAAAAGATTATTTGAATTTTCTGAGAAGGAATAAAAAATATTATTTATCAATTTTTGAAACAAAAAACTTTATTCAAATAATCGGAATAAGATACGCGGTCAGATCTATCTGTAACTTAGTAAATAATGGATTGAAATGAATTTTTTACTGAATAATTAAACTCAAAGATTATTTATGACAGCGATAATTAAATAAGGAGAAATTTCATAAAGATTAAGATATAGTGTTCTTATTTTTAGGTGCTTAAACATATATACTGCGTTTCATACATGCAATGACATTGGCAGAGAACTTTCAATTTAATTTTTTATTCTTTCACAAAAATATAAGAAATTCAAAACATTGAAAATTGAGAGGATCATCTTGACAAACTATAATATGATTTAGCTATTGAAAACAGACTATAGTGCACAATGGTCTGAAATATTATCGATTCGTAAGTAAAGATGATTTTGAAAAACGACTAATAATACTTTTGAATTACTTTATTTTTTTTTGAATGCTTATTTTTGTAAATCATATTATCATTTTTTTAAATGCTTTCCATATTACTTGCTCGATTTTCTCTTTCAGTATCAGCAGCCAAATCCACTGGTAAGTATACATATATGCTCTATGATGATAGCGATTCTAAAAACTGTCGAAATAATTGATAAACTTTGGACAAAAGTTAAAATTGATGGCGTTACAAAGAACATTGATGAAGCAACAGAAGTAGATTATGCAGTTGAAATAGAAAATCACCCTAATTTATTACATACACTTGTAAAACAGACAATTACAAACAAGGGTACTAAAGAACAGAAAATCGACCTTTGTACTGCCTTTAAATTCAGTGATATAGATAGTAAAGTTGATACAATAACTGTTCCAATGATCTTACAATCGTTCTCCAAAACCACCCATGGGTTTTCAGATATCAATGCCCAAGATTTCGGTTCAAATGATGAACCAAAGTTTTTCACAAACAATGAGGAATTCTTATATGCAACAGATGAAATGCCTACAATTCATTGGCTTTCATTTTCATGGCTTAACAGATACATTCAACCTGGCCAGTCAGTAACATTCATTTACATGATTTATGAAGGCGATTATCAGCCCCGTTTTCTCTACCTTGACGAAGTTTTGCCAGATCAAGAAGCAGATATAACTGAAGATATACCAATTACTGGAGTCTTTGCATATATTATTCCAGGTGATCGTGTAGAAGCATATTGGCAATTTATCGATTCAGAAGGTAAAGTTGTCAAACAAGAGAGCCTTGGAGAATTTACTGTATCAATAGAAAGATGTTCATGGACTTTGATATCAAGATCAAACCACCTACAAAACTTGGCCAGTATATATTAAGAATTAATGCATATGCTGAAGGAACCGACTCCTTGGTCTATGTTGATTATCCATTTACTGCTGTCCCTGCTAATTATAGACCAAAGTTGTATGTTCTTCCTCCTGAATATGTTTATTACATTTCAGATTCTGAAGTTTCTTTCTTGGCTTCAGCATATGATGAAGATTTAGGTGATAAACAACTCACAGCAAAGGTTTTCTTCAATAATGAAGAGGTTGCAACACAAGAAATTGCAAATAGCAAAGAACTAAAGACCATCAAATTCAAAGTTCCATCCAATACAGCAGCTGGGCATATCAGGTTAAAGTTACAATTACTGATGGTAAAAAGATTGCCAAAAGAGATTTATCATTGTTATCCAAGATAATACAGTTCTCACAACTGCATTCGAACCACTAATCAACAAAATACAATAAAGGTGATAAACTCAATTTCACAGCTGTTATCAATGCCCAGATACAAACTTTGATAACAAATTCAGTGTTTCACTCTTCTATAATGATAAAGTTAAGAAGACAATAAATCATCTAATGAAGCAGGATTAGTTAGAGTCCCATTCGAATTAACGATCCCTAAAACTGAAACAAATACATCAGCAGAAATCAAGATTAAGGTCACAACACCAAATGAATCTGCCGAAAAATTTTCAACAATCACCATTCATCAAGATGCTGTTGCCACAGATTCTGCAAAGGGAATTCTTGCACAGAAGGAAGCTAAAAAGAAGAAAGCTCTTATTGCAGTTCTCTCTGTCTTAGCTGTCATTGCCGTTGTTGTTGCAGTAGTAGTTATTATTCTTTGGCTAAGAAAGTAAAAAATTACGGAATTTAAGTAAATTTATTTTCATTTATATTATGATTGAAATAATAATATGAATATACAGTATATATTATGAAATTTGAGAGAAAGCTAAAATTTTCTTAGATATGTTTTTTAATTAAAAATTATATTTCACAATAAGATAGTTATTTGTGATTAATATTGACTTAACGACTTCCCCATTTTGCAAACTTGTATTCCCAAAAATAATTGATATTATCTTAAAATCATGAAGAATACCACACAACAAAAATGTTCAACTCTTTATTAATAAAACACGAAAATTCCGCAAAATTTAAATTCCAGAGGATTTTGAAAAATGACTAATTCGCACATTTCTACATTTTGCAAATTTTTCGAATTATCTTTATAAATATTTCCAAAATATGATGACGTAAAAAATTAAAATGATTATTTTATTTCAGTTTTCTAAAAATACAAAGAGTTTATATAAATGCATTTTGAATAGCATTAAATCGGAGTATGTTTTACAGTCTAAACCGAAGGGAAAATATTTAGGGTTGTTAAAAATATCAAAAAAAAAAAAAAAAAAAAAAGGTAGTGGGGCTTCCAGGCACTTCGTGCCTTCTAGCCCTGAAGATGTTTAGTATAAATGAAGTTCTTATATACGGGTCTTCCAGGAGCTTTTCACAAATTATATATGTTTTCATGTTTTGTCAAGACTTCTTCGTAATGAGTGTAAATGACCCAAAAATAATGTTTAGGGTAGAAGGTTAGATCTAACCTCTTTTCTAACCTCTTTTTCTACCCTCTTGAATTTGTCAAGACTTCTTCGTACATGTTTTGTCAAGACTTCTTCGTAATGAGTGTAAATGACCCAAAAATAAAGTTTAGGTGAAGAGGTTAGATCTAACCTCTTTTCTAACCTCTTTTCTACCCTCTTGAATTTTCAAGACTTCTTCGTACATGCTTTGTCACTTTTCTGTCACTTTTCGAGTAAAAATTTTTATTATTATATATAAATGAATTTTACAAAACCACCGTTACCGTTCTTTGGAAATAAGAGTAGATGTAAAGATATTATATTGAGAGAACTTAAGAAACTACCGAATGGTCTAACATTTGTAGATTTGTTCGGTGGAAGTTTCTATATATCCCATTTGTGCCATATAATATTCCCAGACTCAAAGATTATATGCAATGACTTCGACAACTATATGGACCGTCTCAAACATATACCAGACACAAACAATATATTGAAAGAGTTAAAAAAAAGATACCTATAGGTAAGATGGAACGTATACCATTAGATAAGAAAAATATTGTGAGAGAGGTTTTGAAAAAAGCAGAATATATAGACTGGGATAGTATATCTGCTAGACTATTATATAGTGGTGCTATAAGAGTTCATGACATTGAAACACTTATGTCAAAAGTTTTATATCTTAACTATACAAATGTTTTCAAAGAGGACATAGAAAAATATATTGAGGGTATAGAGTTTGTGAGATGTCATTGGACAGAGTTGTATGAAAAATATAAAGACAAGGAAAATGTTTTCTTTATAGTGGACCCGCCGTTCTATAACACATGGGATTTTCAATACCAAGTAGACTGGACTTTGAGAGACTCTTTAGAAACTTTAGACGTTATACATAACCATCCATGCTTTTACTTTACATCCGATAAAAGTGGTTTGGAAACCGTTATGAGATGGTTAGAAGATATACATGACTATGAGTTTATATATGACAAGATAGAATATGAGAGAGGTCCTATAAACTGGAGAAAGTGTCATAACAAAGAAATTTTATTAGTAAGTAAATGTGGTTTGAAATAGGACTACTTGTTTTAGGTTTTTTCCATTGTGTCATTTATTTATTTGACGTGGCAGAAAAGTACAGAGAATATGAAGATGAACCAATGCCTGCAAATGTTCAGTATATGTACTCGTAAGAGATATTTTTATCTAATATTAAATGGACGCACAGAACTTAGCGAATGCACAGCAACCTGGACAACCAAACCCAGAGAATATTCCAAATGAAGTTAGAATACAAACTGCAATGGCAAACTATGGTCAAGTGCCAACAGATGTACAAATGCAAACTGCCATGTCAAATGACGCTGCGTTAGGTTTGCCACCATGGTATGCAAATATGAGATGGAAAGAGTTTTATACAAACCCTGAAGTGGGATATAAACAACTCTATGCAGATGACGCGAACACAGGAGTTGACCCAGAATATGTTTTCTACCAGAGGAGAAACAGAATGTATGAGCTCCAGTTAAAGAATGCTATGGAACTCAACAGGAAACGTAAGAGACTAGGTGGACATTAGATTTTTACATATAGTAAAATGGGTTTCTTCAGTAGTATTGGAAACTTCTTCAGAAGAGTTGGAAGAGGTATATGGAATGGAATAAAATCTGTCGGAAGAGGAGTATGGAACGGTGTCAAAAATATTGGTAAAAGAGTAGGTCAGTTCGTTGGTATTATACCTAAAGACCCTGAACCAGAAGAGCAAGCTCCTGTTATACAACAGCCTGAACCTGCACCACAGTCTAGTTGGCAACCTCAACCGTATTAAAAAATTATATTTTTACCGTTCGATAGTAGTTGTATATGAAACTAAGTTCTAAGTAAAACGCATGGTATAATGGAATTATTCTTTTTCTTCCATCTGTAGTAAACCATACTTGAAAGTCTGAAATACTTCCACTTGGTGGTTCGTATAACTTTGTAGGTTTTTCGTAAAAGTCATTTGCCAAGCATAAGAAAGAGTTTTGCGCACCAGAAAATGAAGCATGAACAATAATAGCATCTTGGTCGAAAATATTTTCATATGTTCCATTAGGGTTTTCGACTTCATAATAGTCCGGGTGTACTGGATATGCTGCAGGCTGATTTAACATCCTCATAAATCTATACCATGCCAAGTTGTTATATTTTGTAGAAATATAAACGTTTTCTCCAAGGTCTTCTATTCTATTGATTTTAACAGTTGCATTTTTCCTGTCATAAATAATATCGAGATGGTATTCTCCCTCGTCAATGTTATACTGGTTTGCATATTCGATATAGATATCGTTTATTTTTTCTTGAAAAGCTTGAAGAGTTGTTTCTAAGTTTACAAGCAAACTAACTTGTAAAAGTTTTCCCTGTTCAAATTTCTCATACATACGTTTTTCTTTGTTATAGTATCGAACTTCAAAACCGACCGTAAATGGGAAACCATGTATGGCTTCTGAAATGAACTTCATTCTACGAAAGCCAATAGCTTTTGTGACGGATGGGTCTCTTAACCATCTTAATGGGTAGTCAAAACGATAGCCTTCATGCTTTACGGTATCTGTCTCAAACTTTTGACCGACATTAGTAAAAAGTTCATCTAATGGTTTAGTTGTAGCAACTCTTGAATTTTCTTTTTCTATTGGAAGCATATTTTATCTATAATAAAAATGTCGAAAGATATTGCTTCCATGAGAGAAATACAACACAACCGACAACTCATTATACAAGCTCTAAATAAGAACACAACAAACTTTTCAAACTATTCTAAGATATCTGAGTCATTGAAAGAAGGAAACTTAAAACTGACATTAAACCCAATGACAGATGAGTTTCTGTTTCAAGACAATAAGAACCATACTGTCTGTATAAATCCAACAAAAGGAACTTTAAACGAGAAACCTATAAATGAACTTCTTTTGAAAGCAGATGTTGACAACAAAGCTGACAAAGAATATGTAGACGATGCAATAGCAAAAGAAGAAGAAAGAGCTAACAATGCTTATGCAACAAAAGAACATACTCATCCTGAACTAGCAGACAAAACATATGTTGACAATAAAATGTCAAGTGAAGTGACAAGAGCTGAAAACGAATATTCTAAAAAGACTCATACACATTCTATATCTGAAATAACAGACTTAAACGTTAGCCTTGAAAATAAAGCGGATAAGGACTGTGTGGCTGCTGCGTTAGAGAAGAAAGCGGATAAGGAATATGTGGATGAAAAAGATAAAGAAATTATAGAAAGGGTTGAATGGTACCATGAACGGACAACAAAGATTTTAAAAACTAAAGCCGATACAGGATGGGTTTCAGGATGTTTAGACCTTAAAGCGGATAAAACTTATGTTAACGATGAGTTAGAGAAGAAAGCAGATAAGACTCATACACATACAAGTTTTACAACTGTTGCTATAGAAAGTATTGAAGGAACGGTTGAAGAAACTGGTGGGATGCATTATATTGTAAACCTCCTAACTTTCCACAAGGTTTAACATCGGATGACGACATAACGACGATGAAAAACATTAGATGTAAAGATGTTTATGTCATGAAGGATGAACATAATATTAAATTCACTGCTCAAGATTTATATGACAAGAAAGCAGACAAAACAGAGCTTCAAACATTAAAGACAGAAATACTTCAAACATTGTATCCTATAGGCTCTATTTATACGTCAATGAACTCTACCAGACCAGAAGTAGTACTTGGTTTTGGAACTTGGACTCAAATAGTCGACAGGTTTTTGTATTGTGCAAACTCTTCAAAGGAAACAGGTGGAAGTAAAACGATTTCAGGTGAAAATTTACCTGCACATAGTCACTACATAGATTTAAGTACATCTCAAGCAGGTTGGCATAAGCATAAATTTTGGGATTGGTCAGCAATGAAAAAAGGTAAAGGATATGATGTTAAAGACGACGTTCAGTTTGCTATAAATTGTTTCTGGGGTGACACTCAGGGAGATGGAAACCATACACATCGCGTTTCAGGATATACGCAAACAACGGGACAAAGTAAAGACTACATGCCACCTTACATGACAGTTTACGCATGGTATAGAAATGCTTAGTCGTCATTTTCAACTTCTTTAGCATATTCGTCAGGAGTTGTCTTATATTTGTTAGGAACTGTCTTTGAAAGTATACCACCTTGAACTTTGACAAGTTTGAAACGAGGTCTGACAATAGTAGTTTTATCTTCTGCTTGCAGTGTGTACATTTTGCCATGTTTGCCTAAAACTTCATAATATTCTCTTGTATACTTTCTTCTATTTTTACGAACACGAATGTGAGTACCTGTCGGGTTCCCATTGTTGTCATAGTCAATAGTATTTTCATATGGGTCGCGTTTAGGTATTTCTATTTTTACTTTGTCACCTTTCTGAAGTTTGAAGCCCGGCATTCTTTCTTGTTTGTCTCTTTTGACTAAATTATTAAATATATAGTCTTTCTCTAAGTCAGGGTTGTTTTTCATTTCTTCGGGGGAGTGGTTTCCCAAACCTTTTTGTTTACGGTTATTGTAAATATTTAAAACTTGTCTCATCTTTGCCATGGAGAAGTGTCTATATTTGTCGTCATATGACATTTCATTTGCTTCACCACCTTGTGGTTGGTTTAAGTCTCTTAACATTTTTATACAACCGTCAATGACACCAAGAGCAGAATGGTTTTGGTCGACAATGAAATATTGGTTTACATTTTTTGAACGCAGATAGTTTTTTACATCATCTGATTTGAAAGAACTTTCACAGTCAGATGTCAGTTTTGTTGGATGGTATTTGTCAACGAATATTGTCAAAGCTGCTAAGATATCTAAAATATTTTTGGACTGTAATGGTATGGCTTCACAGTATCTTGTGTTTTGACCAACAAATATTAACCAGTATGGTGGTCCATCTTCTCTATACCTCGGAATGTTTTCCAAGATATCCATAAACCAAGCATTTGGTGTTGAACTAAAGATTTTTATCATGAGTGCTTTCTTTGTCGCTTTAGAAACATAGGGGTCCTTGTTTGGATTCGTCATTTTTACCCTATAAGAAATGGGTTTATTTGGCGCATTAGCAGGAGTTGCATCCAGATTTTTACCCGCAGTGGGAACAATAGCCAGAGGTGCATTTGGAATTGGAAGGAAGATTTTGAGTACATTAGGTATACTGAAAGAGAAAGCACAACCTATTATACAAACTGTACAGAAAGGTTGGGAGGTAGCACGAGATGCAACAAATCTTATTCCAAATCCTGAAACAAGAGGAAAAGTTCAAGGATGGATGGACAATGTAGGAAGACAAGCAGGAAACTATTATAACAAAGCAAATGACTACTATAAAAGCAGGACACTATATGGACCAAGGTGAAAGATTCTTTAACAGAGGATATAACCATGCACAACAATGGGTAAACAATAACCAACCGCAACCGCCTCAAACGTGGGGAATGTAAAGTTTTTTACTGAGATGAAATGAACAATACAGCATTGAGACAAATGGGTTCAAGATGGATTTGTCGGCTTCCAGCAGTTACACAACGTGTTTGTCAAGTTCTTCCTATACTCAGGAAGTTTTAGACCGACTTAAAAAACAACAACAACCAGTTGAAAAAAACCAAATTAAAATTTTTTACTGAGATGAAATGACCGAAGAAGTTGAAACGGTAGATTTGACACCACAAACAAAAAGTTCAGAAATTGTCAAAACCTGTCAAAGAACTTACAGATGAAGAGAAAAAATTCAATAATAGAAAGTGCCAGGTCTGGAAATACAAACCCTAACTATAAAGTCACTTTTCATAGAAATGGAACGGCTAGTATCTCAAAAAAGAAAAGACTCTCACAAATAAAATATTGAAGTCTGAAGGAGCTTTCGAGACAACAGATGGAAAAGTTTACTTCACTGACCAACAGTTCATTATAGAACATCTCATGACTTAGAGTCGAAATATTCTAAACTTTACAACAAACACAAAAAGTTGAAAGGAAAAACAAACAATGGCATATGATATTTATGAAGATGTTGACGCACAACTGTTCCTGCAAGTGAAGTAAAGTCAGAGGAACGAAAAGTGACGAAAACTGATAGAAGAAGAAAAACAAAAAACTGAAGATAAACCAAAACCAAAGTTTAGTTTCCAAACTAAACCAAGTCAACCTTCATTAGCTGGTGGGTTGGCGTCAAAGACTTATGGCAGCAGGCGGTTTGTAAAGTAAAGAAAAATATATTTTTTTTATTTTTATAAAAATGCCCCATATAGAATGGATGAAAATCTGCTAGAATAAAAGCAGAGTTGCAAAGATATGGTTGGAGAGTTTCGAAGAAGTTTAAATATAGGAAGGGAAGACCCATAAAAGTCTATGACAAACTGGCTGGTCTTCGCTACGAAATGGATTTGGAAACAGCACGTGCCAATTATCCAAACAGACTAGAGAGGTTAGAAGAAGAACGTCTTATGGACATGCCTTTCGATGTTAGTGAACCTCAAGTTGAAGGACACGACGGCTTTGCCAGATTCTACTGGAAACATGACGAACAATTGCATCCTTTGAGAAGGAAAAAAGGTAGTGCAGAGGATGGTCATGCTCCCATGGAAAGAACAAGATATGCATATGAGAAGTATCGTGAAGTTAGAAGTCAAATTACTTCTGGTCGAACCTTTACAGTAAACTTTGACGAAGGAAAGAACAAAGAAGGCTTCATGGGAGTACTTGCTGCCATACAAGATGGAAATAAGAAAGGATACAATCTCAGATTGACCATAACAGATTTGGATGGTCACATTTACTATGCACATGGCAATGTCACAACAGCTGCAATGCTTCTTGACGCTTTCAAGACTACAAAGAGAGAACAAATGGTTGACTCCGACTCAGACATTTTGAATGCAATTGAAGGAATTGCAAGTGTCAAGTTCGAATGGTACCAACCTAACCCTCAAGCAGTCAGACAACATGCTGGATACTTCCCCTTCATAAATAAGTCTGACATTGACTTGACAAGGTATGGAATTTACAATTCAATTGAAACAATTGTCAATGAACCTTGCATTCTTACATGTCTCAGGAACTCTGGTCTTGTTACAGAAGAGAAGATGAAGTATCTTGAGTCATGTGTGAAGACAAGGTACATTCTCAGAGGTCAATTGGCAAAAATTGCACCGTTGGCAAATGTCAATATCCGAGTCAACATACCTACAGCTAAAGGTTCTTCACATGACGACTATGTTGTTGAGTTCAATTTACCATGGTTGAAGATTGTAATTGTCCACAACCACTTCATGTTGAACGAAAGTCTTACAAACCCATTGTTCGGAAAAGGCAAGTGCAACATTGTCAGAGCTGTAAACATTCTTTTCGAGAAAGGTTTGTTGGAACCAATTCCAGATGACAAGCTGACAGAAACTTTTGTACCAAAAGACGAAACAAACTTTTCACTGTTAGCAAGACCAAAAGTTGTTCCAGACAAAGTTCTAGTACAAAAGAAGTACACAATTCCACAAGGAGTTGGATTGTTCGGATACCAACCTGAACCAGAAGAACTTCCAATGAGGTTGCAAGAACTTCAAGATGCTATAAACAAACTTCCATTGAGACATCCAATTGACGTCAAATTGTATTGGAGAGCTTCTGATTAGGTCAGAAGGTTTTTATATGAAACAGGTTGCTTCGACGATGTTTATGAGATAACAGGAGAAGTTTCTCAGAAGATAAGAGACTCACTTGAATTTCCACAAACTGGACCAATTGGTTGCGACAAGTTCGACTCAAACGAAAAGATATACTATGTCGACCTTAACGCTGCATACATGAGGTTTGTCCAATATATTCCGACTGGAATTCCAAACGAAGATGGTGAGTTCCCGGGAAGGAACTATACAGTTGGAAAAGTCATACAACAACTGTATGATATTAGGAAAGCTTCAAACCCCAAACTTGCAATGACACTCAAATTGCTTATGAATTCGACATGGGGATATTCCATTAAGAAACCTCAAGAGATGAAGAGTAAACATTATGAGAAGGTCGACAACTTTGTTGAAAGGTTTTCTCCTTTTGTTTTGAAGTACGAATTCACTCAAGGTCAAAATGGCTTAGTAACCACATTAAAACCTATTGTCGAACATTGGTCTTACCCTCAGTTCGCAAAGGCAGTACTTGACAACTACAACAAATTCTTCTCCGAAGTCAAATCGAAAGTTGTGGTTTACTATGAGAACATTGACGCACTCATGACGAACGAAGAAGGCTATAACAAACTCATTGAAATGGGAATGGTCGGTGAAAAGATGGGCTGTTTTAAGCTAGATAAGGTATTTTCCGAAGTTCATGTCCTCTCCAAGCGTAAGTACTGGGGCATACTTGAAGACGGCACAGAAATAAAACATTGCATGAAGTAAAAACGTTTTTCAAAAAAGTGACATTTTTAAATTTTATTTGAACTGTACGCTGAGTTTGCTTATGTAAACACTAGAGATACAGATGGAAAATACGTTCAAATACTTCTTAACAAATTCAAGAAGCTATATGGCATACCATTTTAAAACAATATATTTTTACATATATTAAATGCTTCAGGTTGAAAAACAAAGAACAAAAGTAGCAGATACAAAACCGTTAGACTATATCTTTACAAATGCTGGTAGGACTATTTCAGATGAAGAAATTTCATCCCGAGTATACAGGTTTGACTATCCAATTCGTTGGCTTTCAAAGTCCTTCAGATGCAAAGGCAATAGGATTTAGAAGAGTTTTGTTTTCAAATAGAACTAACGCGTTTATGTTCGTAGTATATTTTCATGGGCAGTATAAAGGTTCTGATGGTCTAATAGACAAATTTGCCGAAATGAGAATCTTTACAGTTCGTTCAGACGAAAGTCTTGAGAGAAACTCTAAATGACTTTCAAACTCAAAATGAACAAATATTATTGGGAATTTCAAGAAAAAATACGACTCTTTACTAAATGGAACATACTATCTGAAACTAGAATATGACAAGATGAACTCCACCGTTTCATTTCAAAGATTGAAATTAAACCCCCAAGAGATACAGAGTTTTTATTTTGGAAGTAGACAAAACGTTCTTGGGCACAATTTCTTCGGTTACTAAACCAGAACGAACCATTACCACCAGATGGTCCATTTAAATTTATACTTCCACCAGCAGATTTGACAGTTTATAGAAACGTGTTTGACCCTCAAAATGTTATGTGTCATGCAAGTTTCAGTTCAAAGCAACAATAGTTTTCTATGTATTGGTAAGGACTTTTATGACTTTGCTTCTAAATTCTACGAACCACCTAGTAACAGTTTCTCTGACTTTCAAGTTTGGTTCACAACAAATGGTGTGCAACATATTATTCCATTGTACTATGACTTTTATCTCGAATTGTCTTTCATATATAACTACGGAAAAGTGCTGAAAAAGTATTGAAAAATATATTTTAGGTGAAGAGGTGAGATCTCACCTCTTTTCTCACCTCTTTTCTAACCTCTTGAATTTTCATGAATTTTCATGAATGTTTTGTCAAGACTTCTTCGTAATGAGTGTAAATGACCAAAAATATAATTTAGGGTAGAAGGTTAGATCTAACCTCTTTTCTACCCTCTTTTCTACCCTCGTGAATTTTCATGACTTCTTCGTAAATGTTTTGTCAAGACTTCTTCGTAAAGGACCCAAAAATAATGTTTAGGGTAGAAGGTTAGATCTAACCTCTTTTCTAACCTGTTTTCTAACCTGTTTTCTACCCTCTTGAATTTTCATGAATTTCCTTAAGATAGAAAAAATAAAGTTAGTTTTTTTTAAAAAAATATTTTTTATTTTTATTGTAAGAACATGTTAGCAACAACAGCACCAAACTCGTTAGTCATGAACCCAACTTCAATGTTAGTAGAGATGAAAAGCTTCATTCCTTCTTCATATACTTTCGAAACAGAAATCCAGAAGATAAAGCAAGAACTTTTAACAAGTAATTTAGACTGTAGTGCGAAAGATGAAACAAATGAACAGTATCTTTATGAAATGCAGGACATTATTGACCATTTACCCAAATTGCCTGAAATCCAACAACAAAAGCTCACTATTCCTGAATTCGACGAAATTGAAGTCAAAGCAACTGACTCAGTAGAAATAAAGAAGTTCATACGAAAGGTTAACTATGAATTCCTTGGTTTTCATTGCAACCATAAAGTTATGGACAAAGATTGCGACATGGTATATAAGAACATCTCTGACATATATAAATCGGTGGAGTTTAAGACCTACGACAACTTTGTTTCGTTAGTTGCAAAATGTGTATGGCAGATAAGAGATAAAGATAAAAGATGTAAAATATGGAATGAACAAATAAAACCCGCAACTTTTGAGTTAAAGAAAACCATTGACGCCTTAGTTGTTTTAGCAGGTAAGGTTTCAGAATATAACGCAAAAATGAACCCACAATGTTCAAAATGTAAAGCAGCAATGAGGAAATATAACTACTCGTCAAAGAGATAGAAAGAATGCGAAACGACTATGCAGACTTAAAGAAAGAAGTAGAGAAACCAGCAGAAGATAAAATGAACATGTTAGAATTTCTGAACAAAAACTATCCAACAGCAGAAGATTTCCTTCTATCTGATGTCAAGAAGAAGTATAAAGAAACTTTCGGCATTGTTAAAACATTCGATGTACTAAAAGAAGAAATAGAAGCTACAAAACTGTTTAAAGTCTCACGAATTCATAACGTTTACCATGTAAAACGCTTATAAAATAACTGGGGTAGAAAAGAGGTTAGAAAAGAGGTTAGATCTAACCTTCTACCCTAAAATATATTTTTATTGAATTCAGCAACAAAATTCTGAGTAAAATAATTTTTAGGGCTTGTGTCAAACCGTTGAGTTTTCACAAAATTCCAAAAATAACGTTTACCATGTAAAACGTTTATAAAATAACTGGGGTGAAAAATTAGGTGAAAAAACAGGTTAGATCTCACCTCTTCACCTAAAATATTTTTTGTCTGATTTACGCTCATTACGATGAAGAAGTCTTGACAAAACATTTACGAAGAAGTCTTGACAAAACATTTACGAAGAAGTCTTGACAAAACATGTACGAAGAAGTCTTGACAAAACATTTACGAAGAAATCATGAAAATTCATGAGGGTAGAAAACAGGTTAGAAAACAGGTTAGATCTAACCTTCTACCCTAAAATATATTTTTGCTGAATTCAGCAACAAAAATCATGAATTTCCTTAAGATAGAAAAAATAAAGTTAGTTTTTTATAAAATATTTTTTTTATCTTGTATGTAAGAACATATATGACAAACATTGAGTTTGAAACAGTTAGAAAGATAGACAATGACACCAAAGTGGTTAGAATAGGTGATTTAAACGTAAGATACTCAAAGAAATACAACAAATATTCTTTGTCAGACATTCTAACACTATCTGGAAAGAAAACATCCCACGACTGGGTTAGAACTGCTTCTACTCAGAAAATTTTGACAAGAAATCCTGAGCTTATGATATCGGTAAGATTCTATGGAACTACAGCATATCTTATAGACAAAAGTCTTATACCAATAGTTTTGTTATGGTTAGACCCAGTTGTTGGATATAACTTCATAACATATGGTTCATTCGATACGGAACGTTGCAGTGAAGGCTTACTTTACATCGTTCAGAAACCGAAGGACTTCAATACAAAGAGATATAAGATAGGAAGAACATATAATATAACTCAAAGATATGACAGTACAGTCAATAGAGTCAAGGTTGTGTTTGTTAACGATATGAGAGCTGCAGAAACAGAACTACTTGAAAAGTTTGAGAAAATGTATGGTGCTCCATAAAAGGTAAAGAAACGTTTGAAGTAGATGAGATAGATAAAGCTATAAAATTATTTGACGAAGTTGCTGAAAAATACATGTAAAGCGTTTATTTTTGGTCTTTTGTGAAAGTCAGAAAATAAAGTTAGTTTTATTTTTATTTATTTTTTTATTTTGTATGTAAAGACAGATATGTCAACAACAGAGAACACAACAACAGTTATAGTCCATGAAGCTATAAATGAAGAATATGAGTGGGTTCAGTTTAACAAACAACTCCGTCTCATTCGTTCGGTCAAAGACGATATGTACCAAATGCAAAGTATTTTGACAGCATGTTTTGCTCCAGATACTAAGAAACCACAAGACTGGTTTAGGAACCAAAGCACTATTGAACTATTAAATGAAGCTGAAAATTCGACTACGGATTTTCTCGTAGTCGCAAAAACTCGAGTAGGTAAAAAACCGCAGTCGCCAAAACTCTATGAAAACAGTGAAGAACAGCGAGTAGGTAAAAAACCCCAGTCGCCAAAACTCTATGAAAATCGTGAAAAATTGCCAAACGGTTTGAGAGGATATTATGTTCATAGACTTCTTGTAAATGCTGTAGCAATGTGGGCTTCGCCTCGTTATGCTTGGTATATTTACAGACTTCTTGACGAAATTCATAGACAAGAACGTGAAGAGATGGAAAACAAGCTTGAAGCAAAAGACAAAAGCATTCAGAAAAGAATACCACGTTCGGTACCAAAAAGGTAAGGAAAAGAACTATAAGTATATGATTTATACTGAAGAGATGGAAAATGAAGAAGATAAAGATATGGTTATGTTGCATTTAGTCAGAAGAAACAACAAAAGCTTTTACGACCTTGCTAAGATTTACAAATCTGACAGAAATTGGTTCTATCGCGAAAACTTACCGATTTCAATGACCCCAAATGAAGATGTGAAACAAATAGTTCAAGATACTTTACCTCAAACACACTATGATATGAAAGGTTGTACAATTCTTACCTTCAAAGAAGATTTGCCATTGTTAAAGGAAAAAATAACAGAGTATTTTGACAACTTCAAACAAGTAGAGTAAATGAACCATTTATTTTTACGCTTGACTTCAGATGGCTCAGGTAGCTCAAATTAGGTAAATTGCCTCGTCAAATCCTTCTGGCATTCCGAGTCCTTCCTTCCTACAGGAAGAACTCTTCCTTCCTACAGGAAAAAATTTTCCTTCCTACAGGAAAAATTTTTCCTTCCTACAGGAAAAAATTTTCCTTCCTACAGGAAAAAAATTTCCTTCCTACAGGAAAAATTTTTCCAGTTGTCCGACCAAAAAACATTCAAATTTTCGAAAATTGAGAACTTTTTGGTCGAACTTCAGGAAAAAATTTTCCTTCCTACAGGAAAAATTTTTCCTTCCGACAGGAAAATATTTTCCTTCCGACAGGAAAAGTTCTTCCTTCCGACAGGAAAAGTTCTTCCTTCCGACAGGACACAAACGAATGTCCGTACGTACCACCAACCGACAGCCCCAAAGCCAGAAGAACCGACAGCCCCAGCACCACAACAGACTTACTAAGACTAAACACTTAGATTTTTCAAGCTTGACTTTTTACAATTTGAACTTTGTTTGCGTAGATATGAATTCTGAAAGAAGTATGAGGGTCTTGTATGACTTTGTACTTCTCCCATAGTTCATGTCTGTCAAACTTACCTGCCATGGACTCTTTCATAAGTTCCATGAAATCGTCTTCGGACAATCCGGGGAAAAGTATAATGTCAGTAAGTATTCTCTTTACATCCTTACTTAAACTCTTTGCTGTCTGTACACAAATGACAACTGAGATGTTAAAGTGTCTGAGCTTCTTAAGAATTCGACACATATCTTGTTCTCTGTTCTTTAACAAAGGATGAGAGGCGAAATCATCTAAGATAAGAAGACATCTATGAGGGTAAGTCTTCCAATCGTAAGATTGCAATTTCTTCGAAATGTATTCTATCTCTTTCTGTTTGTTTCTGAAGTGTTTCTTCTCTAATATTCTCTGCATTTCCTCATTTGGGTCTTTAAACTTCGAATTTATATACTCATTTATAGCATTATACTTCAAAACTCTTCTTTGGTACTTCTTTATCCAATCTAACAACTCAGAGTCTTTTATACATACTAACTTAGACTTCTTTATAATATCTTTGAACGAATTGACGGTTTGGTCAAATTGACCAGAAGTACTACAAATAACAACTAACTCATAGAATGGGTTCTTCTCATCTAGTTCTTGTTGCTGTGCAGCCATTTTAAGATAAGTGAAAGTCTTACCCGACCCAGGTGGTGCAATTAGAACCTGTTATACCATTCTGAGCAAATAAGAATTGTCATGTATGGGTTTTATCTGAGCATTTTCCAACTTCCTCTTGTTCTTGTTTAAAACATTCTCAAATTTCTTGTCAATGTCAGCAAACTTTTTTTCTAACATATTTTTAGAAAAATTAAAATTTTTATCTTTTTGAAAATGTCTAGCGATTTCGCTATCTATATTCGAGACAAACTTTTCGACAGCAAAACATCTGTCGACCATAAAATCTTACATAGTGTAAACAAGAAAGGTGAATTTGTTCTAAAGTTCTGTTTCTGGGAATATGACAAGAACCATAAAACATTACAAAGAGCAGTCTTAAAATTTGTCAATGACAGACTTGTTGACAGAGATGACGCCGATTGGAAAGATGAAGTCCAACAAAAGTTCTTAGAATGCAAAGAAGGCACATGCGCTGTTCTTGAAGATGAAATAGAAAACAGAATAGAAGAGCTATTAAAGGACAAAGAACTTTTACATAAATATGGTTCTGAGAAATTTGACATAACTCCACCAGAAAAGAAGAAGAAGAGAGAAAGGAAAGAAAAGAAAGTAGAAGAAGAGAAGAAAGAACCTGAACCAGTTCCAGAGAAAAAGAAATTTGACATGTAAAAATAAAATTTTATTTTTAGAACATTTCTGGGTCAATGTCAATGTTCTCTTCCTCTTTAGGAGTAAACACTGGCTTAGACTCTAAAATCTTTTTACCCAATTTACCTTGAACTTCAACTATCTTAGACTCATAATATTCATAGTCGTCTGCTTTCTTTGGTTCATAAGGTATAACAAGTTTGTATGCTTTACCTTCTTCGAGTTTTGAGAACTTTCTGTCAAAATTTTCTTTGACTGTTAACAAACCTTCTATGTCTAAGTCTTCAAATTTCGCACCATTTTTAGTCACAATAGCAAACTTAACTGGTGCAATGTTCCAAATTTTGTCAAATGTAGACTTTTCAAAATTGTAGAAGTAAACATTCAAATATGTGAATGGAGCTAACTTATCTTTGA